GGCGGCCCGGTTGGAGGACCCGGGATCGCGGACCGTGAAGCCGGGCTCGGTGTCCGGGCTGTGAGACGTTAACTCGGGTGTGGAAATGACTGCCAGCAAAGCACCAGAGCCCGACACGGCTGGATTTTGTTATATAACTGAGTGACAGACATGCCTTTCACTCTTAATGACCTCAGCACTGACGATACGATACCCTTTGACTATTTTTGGGGTTTTTTTTAAAGTTTTATATACGCTTTAGAAAACTCACGGACGCTCCAATAGTTATAGTTGTCTTTTGCTCTAATAGTATAGTGCCCCCCCCCCGCCCTTAGCATATTAGTTTCAAGTTTCTTTTTTGACCGGAGGGGAAAAAAAAATGTGAGTTGCATTTAGGGAAGTTTAGGTTAGATATTAGGAAAAGCTCTCGCAAGGAGGGTAGAAAAGCACCGGCACAGGTTACCGGAGCGGTTGTGAAGAGGGAATGTGGTGCCGCAACGTTTCCACACAGACGGGTGAGGTCCTGGATCCCAGGCATCAAATCTAAAGCGTTTCCTAGTGTCTAGGGTCCGAAGGGACCTGAACGGATCATGAAGTCCGACCCCCTGCCCTGGGCTCCTAGGAGCGAGTGCTGGGATCGTTGCACAACAGATTGACCCAGAAGCCATAGTACAGCGCTTTCGCGTGGGTTGCCTTAACTTGCACATTTGGCTGTGGAAGGAGCTGGAAGAAATTGGTAAATAGCGAAAGACTGGTCTCTCCTAAAAGAAAAAGGGAAAGTTGTGGGGATGCTCGTGGATCGAAAAAACAAACAGCTCCAGGAACTGAGTGCTAGCATCCAAGAAAGTACCGCAGACAACCGGTGGGATAATCTGACCCATCAGATCTTCATCCAAGGATTTACATTATTACACCCCTTCGCTCATTGTATTATTGATTCAAATTACTGTTACTTGTATTATACTTTGGTTATATCTGTCTGTAAAACGGTGGAAGCAACAAATGAATGAACAACCTGCCTTGTTATAATGGAAGGAAAAGAAGTAGAAGGATAGTGGTGTAGTTTTAGTTTCAGTCTCTATCCTTGGAGATTTTTTCATAGATTTCATAGACGTTACGGCTGGAAGGGACCTCGGTAGATCACCTGTCTAGACAAAGCCCTGACTGGGATGATCTAGTTGGGGATGGTCCTGTTGTGAGCAGGAGGTTGGACTAGCTCAGTGTTTCTCTACCTATATGAGTTGTGACCCAAAAGTGGGTAGCAAGAATATAAGAGAGGGTCGTGAACAAACTTTAAAAATGGATCAACAAAATGGATTCTCCTTTAAAGGAATAAAATGTGGGAAACGGTGGCTTTTCTCTTGCAGGTTGTCAGAGGTCCCACCTGCAACGGGCTGCTTGGAGCCCCCCATGCCCCACACATATGCCCCATGCCCCACACATACGCCCCACATGTATCACTCCTGTCCCACACACTGGGGGGCTGGCGGCAGAAAGTAGTCGGTCAGGAGTGAGGGGCACTGGGTCAGGACTGGCCATCGATGTTTACAAATGGGTCTTTGTACAAAAAAAGGTTGAGAACCACTGGACTAGATAACCTCCTGAGGTCCCTTCCAACCCTAATTTTCTGTGATCCTATGATATGATGTTCTACACCATCTGCACCCTTCTTTTCAAAATCCTAGATTTGCCCATGGATACCAGGGAGGATATTGAATGGCAGCGGGGTGTAGATTGCTCTAGAGCTATCTAGGTGAATGCTCTCTCCCTCTATGGTAGTGTAAGAGTGATGTTGTAACTATGATGGTCCAGAAATTATGCAAGCGGCAAGGATTTCATAGGGTGAGATCTTCGATTGGACCGACTATGGAGTTGGGATGAGAATAGGCAAGCTTTCACATGTAAGACCTGAGAAAAATGTCTTACATGTGAAAACTTGTCTTTATCTCAACTACATTAGGCCATAATCTGAAAGGTAGGTAAGCCTGCTATGTTCCATGAAGCCAGATTGATTTCATACATGTAAGATCTATCCAATTCATCATAGTAGTACATAGACGCAGCTGGTTAAGAAAGCAGCTTGCTGTTGCTTCAGGAGACTCTTGAGAAAAGGGGTTATTTAAATCAAACTTGCAAAAATTCCATTTGCCTAGAGATTTTTTTTTTTTATGCAGTAGATGCTTCAATATGCAGTACTGAAGCAAGAATATTTGCTTTTTTTTTTTTTTGTCATCATTGGTAAAGACCCAGGAATAAATCTTTTGGCTTCTGAGCTGAACTTTCCTTATAATTTTATTTCACATGTGCTTTTTGATTAAATGCTACCCATTTGTTTTAAGGATATCCTTAAAGGCAATTTGTTCGCTCTTAGCCTGCATTTTTTGCTCCATAGAAACTCGGCCCCATTGATGTCAGTAGGTGTTTTATGGTTGATTTCAAGAGAGCCAGGATTTTGCTCCATAACACTTCTTTCCCTCTGTTCCAATTTAGATGACTTTGAAGAGGAAAAGCCTATTTTGAGGAGGAGTGTCTCAAAGGCCCCCAGTGGAAAGAAGAAGAAGAAAGAAGATGGTGACACTAGAGTTTACAGTCCAGCAACTAGAGCTACAAGCCAAAAAGAATCAAAGTCAAGAGGAAAGGGGAAAAATAACAAAGCTATAAAAAATGAAGGAAATCCTAAAGAGGAGGAAATGTGCAGGTAAGTTAACTGACTGCATCAATACAACTATTACATGTCCATTGCTAAACATGTTTACTTAAGACCCAGTTCAACAAACTACATATAGGAGAAATTTACTTCTGCTGTTTGGTACCATTCTGTGTATCATAGCTTCACATATGAGCCAAATTACTTGTGTGCATGTTCATGGGATCAAGTGTATGGAACTGAATGGGGGTGGAAAGCGTTTGAAGCTTTTCCAAGCTTAATGTGTATTTTAATTTCAGAAGGAAGTTGTCAAGGACTTAAGACCCCCCCAAATTATAGTTTTTTAAAATTGGAGGCATTTTATAATGCAACATAAACAGACTTAAAAATGCCGGTGAAATATTTTGTGTTTATCATCCATGTATTGCTTGCAAAGATTGTGTCCATGCTGGTATTTGTGGTTTAGGTTTTAAGTATATTCTAAGCTTTTGCAGCTGTTGTTATTGATAACGTTGTCATATTACATGTGTTCCTCTAATTAGTACAGACATTGTCCTCCCTCCACATTTTAAACAAACAAGATGATATAACCCACAACTTTGAAGTTTTTTTTGTGCAACCTTTATAGTGGTTTACCAAGCCCCTCTGGGAACGGGAAGAGTTTGAAGAGAGAATCCACTGTTAAAAAAGAGATGGATGAAAACAACGATGGCAGCAATGATGATGAAAGTGAGGATGAATGGGAGGATGTGGAAGGTACGAATCTTTTAACACGACCTTATCAACTATCAGACATTCTTTGGGATAGTTTAACTGATTCTGGCTGCTTTCAATGGAACCCGTCCATCTTTATGCAGGGTCCAATAAATGGTCACAGTGCATGGCATGTGTTAAAATGCTGATCCTGTAAGTTAGGAGTGTGCGAAGCAGGCCGTATTCAATTCAGGTTCAGATTCAGCCCAATTCGGGGAACAGCAATTCGATTCACTGATTTGGATTTCTGTCCTGATTCAATTATTTGGCCGAATCCAAATCTGAAGATTCGATGCTGATTCAGAGAATCAGTGATTCGGCCATAGAAGCAGCTTTATATGTTTTTCTACACACCCTGAGGTGTACCAGGTGTGGCTCATGAATGCTGCAATGCTGGGGCGCATGGAGCGTCCCACAGGAACGTGGGGGGACTGTGGGGGGACCCCGGGTGCCCCCCAGACCCAGGAGGCACCAGTCATTGAGCCGGGGCGGGGTCCACTTCTGGGTCTGCTGCTGAGTGCACAGGGGACCCCCCGCGTGCTCCTGTGGGACACTCCATCTACCCTAGCATCTCAGTGTTCACAAGCCACCTGATACCTTGAGGTTTGTAGAAAAAACATATAAAGCTGTGTCTATGGCCAAATTGTTGAATCTCTCTGAATCGATTCGGAGGCTTCCGATTCAATTCGGCGCGATTAACGGGTCTCCTGATTCGATTCGGAGATTTGGCCACCGAATTGGACCAAATCTCCTCCGAATTGAATCAGTGACTGAAGCTTTGCACAGCCTTACTGCATATATGGCATTCTCTGAATTAAATGTAAATATGTAGTGTCAGTTGTTCTATCTGTAAAGAAATGTTGAATGAATCTAATAAGAAGACAAAGACATATTCTAGCAAGAAAGAATAGACCAGTTAAATCATTTGGGCAGATTCCAGTCAATAGGCCATGAAAACAGACCATGAGAACTAGAATCTTTTCACTTCTGCCATTTTAAATCTATACCTATTAAAACAATCTCCTTATTTAAATGCTTAAGTCTGTGCTGTCCTTTTGAACTGATAATGGAGAAAAAGGAGCTAAATGCAAGGATAAAGCAGACAAAGAGGAGCACCAAAATTAAGATGCTGAAGTCAAGCATATCATAACTATGTGATATAACATTGATTATTTTCTTTTAATATACAAAATATGGCAGAGTCCCAGACCATTATCCTAAACACAGCTGCAGTGCTGTAGAAAAGCTGCCACTTCACACCTCTGACCTAAGTAAGTGCTGATAGAAAATGTAGTACTTCTGTAAGACACTGTGGAGATGGTTCTTGGGCTGTCATTCTACCATGGACAGTGCCTATTGCAAGCTTCTGCTATGCTGCTCTTCTGGTGTCCCTTGTGCCAGCTCTGAAATGACCCATCAGTCCTTGGCCTGTCTTCTGAAGAGGGTTGTTTATTATAGGCTGACCTGTTAAACTGGAACAAATGAGTTTCTTGATTATAGCACGCTTGTCACTCTGAAAATGTAATAAGCATGGAATATCTGCTTATTTAACATCATCAAATGGTAATTATTTGGTAAATATTAGGCACATTCCCTAGCTGGGCTGAATTTGAACAGATGAGTAAAAAGTGAGAGGCTTCTTCTCTCACTTTCAGTCCACTGAGCCATCTATTCTAGATGGATTATTTTTAGTTTTATGTTTCCAGAACTCCAAGAGACAGTTCCAGATAAATCAGAAGAAGCTGTTGGTCTTCCTGCACTGGTGCTGTCCGGCAAACCAGTTGAAATAGAGATTGAAACTCCACAGCAAGCAAAACAAAGAGAGCGAAGGTAGGATCTTTTATATAGGGGAGACAGCATGGACCAATGTCTAGAGCAGGGGCAGGCAACGTTTTTTGGGCGGAGTGCCAAAAAAACACAGTGTCTACCTAGGAAGGTACCAAAGTCCCGGCATGCCAGAAAAACAAAATGGGGGGAGTACATGGCAGGATGCACTGCATATTAGTATATTTAATAATCATAAATGTTGCCTTTGTTGTTTTCTGTTTCTTTTTTGTTGAGCATGTTGCAATGAGAAAGAAAAAAGAGACAAATAAGAGAAAGAGGAGAGAGAAAGAAAGAGAGAAAAAGGAGAACAGAGAGAACCAGACACATGCACACAGAGAACCATGTGCACAAACACTGACAACCAGAACACACCCAGAACAGACACATGTGCACACACCAGAACCAGACACACGTGTGCGCAGACACATAGGACCAGAGAGAGGCAGACAAACAAAGAACCAGATGCACGGGCACATGGAGCCGGGCTCCTGGGCCACTGGACAAAGTCCACTCTGAGGCATGCGTGCACCCGCCGGTATGGAGCTAATGCTGGAGCCCGGAGAAGATGTTTGCAGCCTCCTGGCTCTAGGCAGCTAATACCAACCACGGCAGGGCTTGCAGCCACCCAGCCGTCTGCTGGGAGTAGCCCAGGCTTCGTGGTTGGCAGCAGCTGCCTAGAGCCCAGGCCAGCGGTGGCGTGCTGAGCGAAATGGCTTCGTGTGCTGTGCTCGGCACACGTGCTGGGGGTTGCTGACCCCTGGTCTAGAGCATGTGGGAGAGGAATTTGGAAACCTGTCTTGTTCTGCATCTGTTACTGACTGGCTGTGTGATTTTTGGGCAAATCCCAGAAAGCCCAAAGGGCAGATCCTCAGTTGATCCTGTCATAGCTGTCTTGAAGTAATTCAGTGCCTCTGGACAATGGCTGTTTATACCAGCTGAGGATGTGTTTCCTAATCTGTAGATGTGCTGAGCACTAAAACCTTGAATGCCAGTTGGTGAAACTGAGAGTGCTTGGCTGTTTTGAAAATCCAACCTATAACTTCGTTGAACCTTAGGGTCCCCATCTATAAAGTAAGGATGTGTGTACTAGGGATGTAAATATCGTTTTAAAAATACCAGTTTAACCTCCTTTAATTATATTGGTTAGATGGTCCCATGGCAGAGGGGCAGGGCAGGGCAGCGCGGGGAACCAGAGCCGAGGGTGATACGTGTGATTGTGATGAGTTCCACCACCATCCAGGACTGAAGCTTGTGGCTGCACCAGGCTCTGTGCGATGAGTGTATGGGCGTGGGCGAGCAGTGGTGCCAGCAGCAGCAGTGTGGGGTGGAAGATCTGGCCTAGTGTTGTCTCAGTGCTGTCTGCTGTTGGGAGAGCAGCTCTAGCAGGAGCTACCAGGGAGGCAGCCCAGATTTAGGCTGTAGCATCATGTGGCTGCTGCAGCAGGGAGGTAACTAGTGGTTACCTGCAGGGGGTTGAGCTGGGCAAAACTGTGCAGCAGAGCCAGCAGGGCTTAAATAGGAGAGAGAGCAGTGGCAGGGCTGCCTTGTGCTACAGGGGCAGGCTGCATAGAACCAGGCCTCCCCTCCCCACATAGCACCCACAGGGGCTCTGCCTGCTGGGACAGCTGTGCTGCGCCCAGATGGTGCCTCCAGCCTGTGGACTTGTGGTGGACAGATGTGCCAGACAGGATTGTGCTCGAGGCATCCACTTGTGGGCTGAGTGCCCTCTGCTAGGAGCTACAGTACCAGGGCAGGGCCTCAGCTGAGCGGGACGAGCGTGGTGCTGGCCTGGCTACTGGCTGCATCTGGACAGGGAAGGGAGCAGTGTGGGCAGCACTAAGCTGGGAGGGAAATGGTAAATGTTAAGTGGTGTAAATATAATTACTGTTCAGCTGTTTAACCTTTTACATCCCTAGTATGTTCTTTGTAAAGAGTTTTAAAATTAGCAGATGATCAGTGCTGTGTGACTTCAAATAAGTAATAACAACAGTTCTGTGCATGGATACATCTCCTTCCTTTCTCACTTCCATAGGCTTTTTATTACAGTTCAGAGCAGTCCTCTGAAATCATGTCAAAGACTTGGTTAGCTGACCTCACCCTTTACACATGGTGTTAACAGAGCTGAAAGATGATTAATGAAATGGAGTTTTAACACTATTACCTACCCCCGTACTGCACACTGTACAGATGCATAGGAAGTCTTTTAGTGAATGTTACTAAAAGCATTTTAAAATGGGAACAGTTTTTTTCTCTTTCCTGGCTTTGATAAAAAAGGCATTTTTTTTTCTTTTCTGGACTGAGCCTTCCAGCAGGGAAGGATTTTCATACTGCAGGAAATCCAGGGTTCTTATCTTGGCTCTGACAAGAATGCTGTCTTTGGCCTTCAGCAAATAACATGACCCCTGTCGCTTTATTCTTCTCTTCTGTAAAATGGTTATTATAAAGATTATTTAGCTTACAAGGGTGTTGTGAGGGTGGTTAGTCATTTAACAAAATGTGCTTCTATAAGTACTAAGTATTGTTCATTATTTGGATGTTTTATCCTCTTATACTGAATGCTGCTTAAATCAGGGCAATAAAGCCGGATCGAATTCCACCCAGCTCAAATCCCTGAAAAAACAATAACACTTCTACTTTTGTAACATGCCATTATCTTAGCCTTAATGGTAAGTCATACGAAGGGTTGAGCACCTTTTGCATTAACAGTTTCTCAAGGATTGAGGCAGGGTGGGATAGTGTTGTACTTAGGTGCGCATGTCCACTCAGGTGCCTGGTCGGTGGAACAGGATCTGGTGCTTATGTTTCAGTAGTGAGGTACAAAGAGCACATAGGTAATTCGCTATAATCACACCACTTCAGTATTTACATAGCATTGATGGAACCCTGCCTGGCATGCATGTAGGGCTTAGTATAAAATGTGAAACCAGTTTTTGGGACATTCTCTTCTAGAATGTCTTTTTCAGGAATCTAGGAAGGCAGGTGCACAGAAAATTACAGAAATCCTTTATTTGGTACCATTTTACAGAGAGAAGAGGAAAACTGAATTTGAGACCTATCTGCGGAGAATGATGAAACGTTTCAACAAGGAGGTTCATGAGGATACGCACAAGGTGAGAGCAGAGAGGGCATGTCAGTCACAGAAGCTTTCAAAAGGTTGCGGGTTGTGAGTGAAGAGGTGGAACAGTGCTTGGAGCTGCTTCTGGGCTAAAAACATGGTCACAGGAACAACTTACTGTGGGGTAAAAGGGGCAGGACTTTACCACATGTCAGCTGCTCCATGGTAACTGCCTGTGTGCCTGCTTTTACCCTCCTGCAAGTTGAAGCTAAACTTAGAGTAAATGTGAAGGAGGGGTGTGTTGTTATGGTTTAGATTCCTCTTACCAGAGGGTAAGAGTACACACGCGCACACACGCACGCGCGCACGCACACACGCACGCGCGCGCGCGCGCACACACACACACACACACACACACACACACACACAGAGCAGTTATTAGGGAGCTGCTGACACACTGTAAAGTTTGTCTTTCATTACCAGGCAGTAAATTACATGTCTATTCTCTAGGCAATTTGTGGGCAATTAAGAGTGCTTAAATCAAGACCTGTTAATGTTTCCAGAAAGTAGGTGGACACAGCCATCAAAAAGGGAACGTGATTGGCTTTTCATGTCACAGTCTTTTCAGATGCATCTTAAAATCTGCTCCAAGTGTTTTAGCTGTCTTCAATGGGCTGAGCCAGTAATTGCAGCACAGAGTGAGAATTGAAACAAAGATCTTGGACTTGACTGTTTGAGAGAAAATCTGTGCTGATAGAAGTGGCTGCAAGACCAGTAATCATCTTTGCCCTTTCCCTCTTCTTCTAACAGTTGGTTCAGACTCATGTTGGTACATTAACCTCAGTGAGGTTGCATTTGAATTAATTTGGTTCATTGTGTCAGGACTGTATTTGCGCTGTCTAGCTATTGAAAGTGAAATTCCTTTTACCAGAAATGTTGCATACTCCAACAAGGAAAGACTTTTTTTGGTTTCAGCCTGAAATCTTTCTTTCTCCTTCTTCCAGGTTCATCTCCTATGCTTGCTAGCCAATGGTTTCTATAGAACCAGAATCTGCAGCCAGCCTGATCTTCAAGCTATTGGCCTTTCCATCATTCCTAACCACTTTACCAAAGTACCTGCTGGCCGGGTAGATGTTCTCTATCTCTCCAACTTGGTGAAATGGTAAGAACCTCCTTCCTAATTCACTCTCCCAAGCTAGCCACTGACATTGTTGTTGAACACAGTCATCCAAGCTCAAGTGGTGTACGTGTTTTTAAAATACTGGGATGAGGAAATATCCTTTCTTTTATTTAAGAAGGTGCTCAGGAAGACAGATAATAAATGAATGTTTCATCTTCCAAGGTTTGTTGGAACCTTCACTATCAACACTGAGCTCTCTGTTGAAGATGGGGAGAACATGCAGTGCATCTTAGAAAGGCGCTTTGCCATCTATGCCGCACGAGATAATGAAGAGATGATTCATGTAAGTGCCTTGAAGTCCAGGAACTCGTGAGGTTGATTGCTGGGTTTGGATGCCACATCACTGGGGAAGCACTGCTGCTGTAGACCTTGCAGGCCAGAGTGTGTCCATGGGTCATCTCTTGTTCTTAGCTTTCTCCCTTATTTTTGAAATTGCTTAGAATGTAACCTGTGTGCTGTGAATGACTTCATAATCAGAACAGGCATATACTGTCCTTCTGTGATAGTCTCATTTTAGACTGCCCTTGCCTGAATCCCTGGATGGTTTAGACCCTCTGTTCTATGTAGTATCTAGTCAGATTCTTGGTGTAATTAGTCCTGTTGGGTTAAACATAGCATATGCATTTGCTCAACGACCTATTCTAGAGTATACTCTGGCTTCTTTGCACCTCTCTTGACTGCAGTTCTTTGCACAGTTAACTTAGCCAGCTCCCTGTAGGTTTCCTTTGTATAAGGAAATTCCTATGATCATTTAAAGCCAGTGTAGCCTCTTCTAGATCTCGCATTAAAGGGTGTTGCTGAAGGGGTAAGTGTATAGTCAAGGAATATTTAGGCAAACCTTGACTGTTAGAATGACCTCTTGAGGCCAAAGGCAGCTACATTTGATTTATAGCAACTTGAAGGCTTTAAATGGCATCTTTCTTTTTGGGGGGTTAGCTTTTAGATGATGAATTTATTCCATGGTGTTGGAATTAGGAGCAAAGACAAAGTAGAGTCACGTCAGTTAACTCCACATAGAGACAGCCAGTTTAAAAAAAAGAGTAAGCATTCAGTAACAAAGAATTGGCAAAAAGCTTTGTAGCCTTCAGTAGGTTAACAGACCCTCAATAGGCAGTCAGTCTGCACCTCCGCTGCAGTGTTGGAGAACTAGGAGGCTGCAGCTTGGTGTACTCAGCTTTAAGATATTTTTGTTGTGGTTGGAGATGTAGAAATGCCACTGCTAGGATTTGAGGAATGACTTTGGTATGCATGGTAGGAGAGAAGCAGAGACAAAGTAAACCATGCCTATAGATGATTCATAGATTCATAGATGCTAGGGTCAGAAGGGACCTCAACAGATCATCGAGTCCAACCCCCTGCCTAGGC